CCAGCCTGTGAAACAATGCATGAAGAAATGGGAGATTTCACAAATCGTGCTCTGAATTTGCATTTGGAAAACAATGCTAGCTGTTTGTTTTACCTTCCTGAAAATAATCCAGAAATATGTCATTTTTGCTTTCTGAAAATGCCATTAGTCCTAACCATTTTGACAAACTGACCTTTTAAATTACTTAGAATAGAGGAATTCTTATATTCTAAGTACAATCTAGCAGGTTGGTATGCCTTAGCAGGAATAGACACATTACACGAGTCCAGTTAGATTCAGTTAACAAGAAACCTAAGGATGCTGCCTTCTCAAAGGACTGAAAATGAGCAAAGGAATTGAAAGTCTCCTGCTCCTAAAAAGATAGCTCAAGGCTTTCGACTGTTTCAGTGGAGAAACTCGTCTAATCACATACCTTCACAGCACAAGTGATTTAAATAGACTGGCCTGCAGTGGCTTTGAATTGGCTTTGAATTGGCTTCATCACTCTGCACTCCTCCCCACTGAGAGCTGGTGTGTGGGGAGCGTTCTGGTGCACTATGGCTGCCGTAGCATCATCCAGGTGGATGCTGCTCGTTGGTGGTGGTGGAGGGGATCCCCATTACCTGTAAAGCGCTTTGAGTGGAGTGTCCAGAAAAGCTCTATTAAAGTGTAAGCAATTATTATTATTATTATTATTATAACAAGAGGTGGAAGGGAATTATCCTCTTCAAGTATGATCTAGAGTGTAGACTATCACTTCAAATAAAACAAAGCTGGTAAAATAAAAAAGCATTAATGTTAAAATCAAGCTCCCCACCGTTCTGTTCAGCCCCAACACTTCAACACCAGCTCTTTAATGAAACAGGAAGAACACCTTGCAACCATTAGAAATAAAGGTTTTTTTCCATACATTGGCAAAGACACAAATGACTGACCATCTTAAACTGTCATCCTCATTAACACGTTTTTCAAGGTGTCACTTTCAGGGCCAGTCCAAAATGTGTTTGAAAGTGGAGCACAAAAGGAACCGACGAGCTGTTCCACCTCACCAGCCCTCACTGAGACAGCTCTGAGAAGAAAACACATTCCTCACACATGGGCTCCAAACCATCATTAAAAAAACTCAGAGATCATTCAGCGGGGTGCAAAAAACTAAAGCTTATTCTTAAGTGACTCTGATCAATTTATTACACCCATGCCGGAGGAAAGCTCATATCACACTGGGATGGGATGTTTCTGGAAAAATAAAAGATCTTTCTATGTTTAGAACACTCCCTCTCCTTTGTAAACATGACTTCCCACAATTTTGATCGCCTGTGCTGCTGCAGATCCCCAAGCACAGACAACATCCTGAGAAATAAAGGACTGGACGCCGTAATTGATCCAAATGATTGTGTCTGGGGCCTAATGAGATGTGCAGCACGCAAAGTCACATAAAGCACAAGAATAACAGGGCTGGCAGAAAGTCACATGGGTGACATTTTCCAAGGATTTCAGGAGCATAATCGCAATGGATTTGCAAGAACGGCAAAACTAAAAATCTGTATTGAATCCTTACTGTGTTTAGTATTAAGGAACAGTGGAAATAGCGAATGGAAAATCATCCAGATTAAAGCACCATCCACTCTCTTTGTGTTCTTATGGGGCCTATCAAGCACAATATTGGATTCACTGATTTATTACTTGAAACAGCCCATCTTAGAGCTGACTGTTAATTGAAATGCTACTCTGTGAATAATTTGAGATCAAAACTCTTCAAAGCTCCAGATTTAACATGGTACAGTCATTCCAGTACGTCAGCCCCACAATTCAGCCTCACCTGACCTTGAACGTAAACAATCAATGATGAGTTCTGACAGTAAGCACAGCAGGTGAGCTGTTTGTGTTGATACAACATCATGGAGAAGACTGGGAAGGCTGTAATGGGATGGAATACTGCCAAGCAATTGGCTGTTTCCTCACTTGTGAGCCATTCTTGGCCAAATCAACCTTTGCTCCATACATTCTGCCACTCAACAAGCAAGACATTTGTTAAAAGAACTGGAAAACAATACTGCAAGATTCCAGTTGGTATCAGATTCACAAGGCTCTGGTTACAAATTAATGATTCTCCATTGTTTGTTCATTAATGGTATATTCTGTTTATCTCCTTATACACAGAAAAAGCTACATGTTTTAGCATTCTAAAACTACACGAGGTGAGGGAATTGCAGGGCTTTTCAAAGATTGGTGGTATTCAACAGTATCATCTGGATATATGTGTATGTTGCAATGCACTGAAAACACATTGAGTTCAAATTTCAAGGTGATTTTGCCTTCAAAATCACAACCTGCTTTACACAACAACCAGAACAGAACTCTGCGCATCTTAATTTCAAATGCTTCGCACATGCACAGCTCAAAGGATTCACACAATCACCAATGACTGTGTGAGAAGCTACAGCTAATAAATTAACTGCATTAAATGTGTTTACTTTTGGGAAACCTTATAGAAAATGATGATTTGCATTAGGATATTTGTGTATAATTATAATGTTATTACTATGCCTTTATTAGCTTATCATTGACTTTTATCCAGGGCTACTTACCAAATATATTCTATATAATGAAGTATCAATTTAACTAGTTGATGAATATGTGTCTTAAATCTTGTGCTTACTATACAGACGGTAGATGTGAACTGCAACAGGAAGTGTAATCATGGTGTCTACTCAGCTTTAGAGAATCAGCTTGCATGAGTCATACCTGTTCCAGTCAATGGGGTTTATAAACTGGTGTGAGAATGTGTGCAAATATAAATTAGGTGCTCTGCAGATTAGTGGCTCCACTACACAGCAGTCTTAAGAATTCCAATATAAGCAAAGGGACACGTCACTCACAGTCACATTTTAATGGGTGTGAAAAATAAGGCACTCCTCCAACAAAAATATTGACCGTTTACTCCAGAAGCCACTGACAGTTCTTTCTAGTTGCCTTTTAGGAGATGTTATGATTGTCCTTCAAGTAATGAATGTGCAGTATTGTAGGTCACAGCCTACAAAGTCTTTTCAACCTCAAATAAAATAACTTGAATCTCCAGAGAGAGGACCGCAGTATTATTTATGTGATGCCAGCATATACAGCTTGTATGATTGATAAAGCCTTGCTACTCTAGGTTCTGTTTTACTCATAGTTTTAGAACAGGCCTGTCGATACAGTGTGAGTAATGACTTGCCTTTCACACTAGACACAATATTCCATTATGTGTGGAAAGCTGGTTTAAAGACACTGTCCCCTCCTGTCAATTTCAGTCAAGGAGTGCTTCAGGAACAGTGTAACACAGGTCATTTTTCAGCCAGCTGCTCTGCTGTCATTTTCTGAACTGGCATGCACCTGCAATAGGTTCCAGGCCAAACAGAATCCAACAGGCCAATGCTAGAATCTGGTGACTTATTAACGCTATATCTCAGTAGGTCAATGCTTTAAACAAGCAACAGAACTAACATTTTTTGCACTACTCAGCAAATTACCAAGACTGTAGTCTGGTAAAGTTCTGTCAGAACAATTCCATTGTTCTCCTTCTATAAAAACACTGATTCTAATGAAGGTCACTTTTATATTATTTTTAAAACTTTCTATAAAACTTTTATAGTCAAGTGTTAAGATTTGCCTTTAGAAACCCAAAGGCAGTATTTTCTATGGACCAAAAAAGTTTGTAAACAAACTGTGTTCTTAAATGATGCTCACTATATTCTCTTATCTATATTTACTTAATTCAAGCTCGAGACAAAGTATTCACTTTATCTCAGTCATTGTAGTTCTACATCAAAAAACAACGGAGGAATTCTATAGCCATTTGATGTATTTACATATATGAGCTGTTCTGAACTACACAGACCCAGACAGTCACAGTTTGTTTTGACTCTAGGTAGATTCAATAATAAACCCAAGAACTAAAGGGGATTAATCATAAACACTGACTAGAGAAAGCAGTATTAAAATTAATCTCCATTGAAATTAGAGAAATCGAAAAGTACACAACTGTCCAAGCGCATACAGAAGAACTAAGTATGAAATTTGCAGTTAGTGCAAAAACTATCCCAAAGTTAAATTAGTTGTATAGTGTAGCATCAAACCTATACAATGAAGAGGTTAGTAAACAAAAACATTACGGATTTGATAAGTAGATGGAACGATTATCCAAATTCCATCGTGATATTCTTATATTTTATATGACCCGGATAAGCGTGAGTTTAAGAAACTCAGAAACAACAGTATCTGTGTGACGTTGACAGCTGTATGTAATACTGAGCGCACACAAACTCTTGCAACACCTGATTTCAGAGTTTCGGGATCTACCTCTTTCGCGTACAGAAAGTAAGTTAAAAATTAACTCCCACAAAGCACAAGTGGGCACCTTGAAAGACACATACCACTACACGGTTAATGTCATCCAAACACTAACAAGACAGAAACGTAAAAAAAACCCGACTGGGCAACAGATAAATAATGCAAGTAAGAACTTATATATACCCAAGTAAGAACTTAACAGGGCAGTATCTAAAGACCATCCGCAAACATGTTGTAAGACAATGTATCTCAAACTTTCATATAACCTTGCCAACAACGAATGAGAAGAGATTTAAAAGTTATTGATCAACCTGAAGAGGAAGACAGCGTCATTCACAATAGCCAAAGGGGAGTCAGGAAATTGGGGAAACTGTTTACATGCATATCTAATAGTTAAAGATGTTTAGTCTAAGTATGGCGAATTGTCTTGCTTTTCAGCCTTTGAGAAAAGGGTTAAGAGAGCAGTCCAAATCGAAAAGCCAATAATCGCAAAGCACTCAAACCTCATCTGTGGTTACCATCAGTTCATCTAAATAAAATTCCCTCAACAACGGGATTAAAACTAAACTGCTCAGTTAACGTGAAAAGTCCCGTTACAGAGGTTTATTTAGAGGAAGCCGATTAACGTGGGCTGTTGACAATTCATTAATTAACAGTTATCAGGTTACAAAACCTAAACTTATTACACTCACCCGCCGTAATGTGCCTTAATTTGCACATATTCCAGGTGCATGCTCATCACGGATCCTTGTTTGGTAGGCATTGTACTCCAAAAATATTAAATATAAAGAGCCAATACTGTAATCCGACAGAAGTGGGGTAGCAAATACAGTACGTGAAACAGGATCTTCTGTTGTTGGTTCCCTCCGTGTTAACGACTACAACTGACAGGGCGAATTCAACAGGTTGCGCTTTTTTTTTAAAAAAAAAAGGTTAAAAATCTCATTTATTTTCTCCCCGATTCTGTATCATGCTGCCGTCCTCTAGGAATTCGGTCACCTGTCACCTGCCTTGGCTACTTATTCCGCGACACAGTAGTCAGAGGGACACTGGCAAGTCTGGACTGGCCTTCCTCAATTCCACCTGTTGTGTTGCTCCTGAAACGCAATTACTCGAAACACTAGTACGGTACAGACACTACTGTAACTGCCGGACCCACGTAATAATGAGCTGCTGTATTTAAAGGAGGACTCTATAAAATCATAAAATCATTCATTCCCCACAGGATGGAAAATACATTTTCCGCTTGAGTAAGATAGACACAAATGTTCATCGCGTTAATATCCAGCTCAACATTAATAGATTTTACGCAGTTAATAAATGAGCTGAGATGACGTACGTTGCAATATTATATTTAGCTTTAATTCAGCAGTTACACTACACTCCTACAATGGCTTGTTAAATGATTGCGCTAAAGAGGACAAAATAGACATATTAGTTCAGCATGTGAAGTGTATAACTGGAAAATTAAATTAGGCTGAACTGGAATTTAGTCGTGCACTTCCAAGTTTCAACTTTTTATTCCAAAAATCCATGTTATTCCAAGACGTCCGTCACCAGAATGTTGTTCTGCCTATCGGGGGGGAAAAATACAGAAATCTGTTGATAACGTATTCATCTGAAGTTAGTAAAACTGTAACATTTACCGTCCCACGACAGCTATCTTACTGAGCAAAGTATAGCCAAATCAAAAACTTCAGGAAACCAGTTAAAAAACAATTCGGTGCTTAAAAATTCTCAGAAATGAGTTTTTAGTCCCCGTAGTTATTGTTTTTCTCGTGCATTGCTTGTATTTATTTCGATTTTTGTATCGTTTTCTTCCCAGCTCGCAGCAATCATAAACAACTCCAGAAGTTTCTGTTTAGACGGCTTCTAGCGTCTCCCGGGAGGATTGAGGGAACATGGCGGAGAATTCCAGAGCCGGAGCCAATCGGAACGATGGAGTCACACCTGCTTTCCAATCCGGGAAGAGCAGGCAACACCTGTAGCCAATCCGAAAACTCGTGGGATTACCCCCAGTCCAATTGGAATTCCGTTCGGGATTTACCTGAATTAAAAAGTGAACGGAAAATTCCTTATCCAATCAGACGACTGTTGGATTTACCTGTGTCCAACCAAAAGCCCGCAAAACAGAACATATTGAACAACTCATATCATGCATTTTTCTTTTCCATAGCTGCTAAATATAACAGGACAGAAGAAAGTTCTCTAAGCATTTATTTAAAATCAATTCATATCTTGGTTGGGACATTCGTTGCGCATAATGCATACAAAACGAAGATCTATAGTATCCAAATGTTTTGAATACATGCAATGAATTTAAAAAGGGCAGCGATTAATTGCCCGTGCGAGGACGTTACAGTCAGCAATAAAATGTCGTTTTGTCTTATTTTGACAGGTGGCATTTATACATTGGATGCAAATAAGAATGCATTGTTCAAGTGCGGACTGCGCACAACAAGAGAACGTACTTTAATGAGCTGCTCTAGGAAGGTCGTGCTGTACAAAAGGTTTTATGTAATCTCAGTAAATCTTAATCAGGTCCAGATCTGTAATTATAATGCCTCAAGGTGTTCTAAGTGAGGATTTCTAGGGTGTCTGAAATTTACGAGAAGAGTTCCACATAAAAGCAGAGGTCCTCTTACAATTGCCGTTTGCGCCACCTGCGGTGTGAACTGCATATAACACTTAAACCAACAGTCTGGAATAAAAAGCCGTTCACAGTGCAATTATTTTTTATTTCAAACAATAGAAAAACCCGAGAAATACAAAAAAAACTCCATACATATTATTTTCCTGTCTCAGTTCTTACATACATATTCAGAGAAAGTACAATATGTTTCTTCTAAAGTAATGCAAATTACGAAAATATGAAGGAATCCAGTGTTAGTATAGAATCTAGTATGTGCTTATTTTTAATAATAATAATTATTATTATTATTATTATTATTTTTTATTTTAACATTTTATTTCACAAAAAATACACAAAAATGCTACATACTTTTCTAAATTTAACATTCACGTGACCTTCAGTTCTTTTTCAATTTTTGCACCTCTTGGATAATCTGGTTTCCCTAAAGTTCCCTCTTAATTAGCGAAGTAATTCCTCTTCTCCGCCTGATCTGTATTGGGGTTGCTGACATGTAGTATTGGGCATCACCTAGGAGGGTGCCCAACTTCAGTGATGGATGTAGTGGACCTACTTCAGTGAATAAATGCCATTAATTATTATTAGTGTGCTCTGACAATGCAACACTGGATACAACCCTCCATCTAAAGAGAAGTACGATGTAAGAAATGTCTTCAAAATTAAACACTTAGTATTAGTGGATTCTATATGTTATAGGTAAATTGGTTACATTTAAAAATGTCCATTCAAGTTTGGCATAGTTTTGAAACATGGGGATTTAATCAAAACAATTTAATTTCCAATTGAAAGTAGGGACCACATTAAATGAGAAGCTGCAAATTGCAAATCGATTAACTAATCTCAGCTTTCTGCTTGACAGAATGTTCTTCTTTCTACCCTCCATGAAGAAAGAACATGGAATATATGAATAGAGTGTGGATTTAATCTAAGCCTAGATAAGAAACCAAGATATACAGCTGAAGGGGTATTCATGCACTATTTATGACTGTGTTCATGGATACAATTCTATTCAAGAATGATGTTGACTGTTGAGGTACATTACTTTATGTCACACAATCTCTTTACAATATATTTAAATAGCTTTGAAAGCACATAATTAAGACTTCTGAGTTTTTAGTTTGTACATCAAAAATACAAGTAAAACCAGAACAACAACTATGAAAACAACAAGTATGGTATGCTGTCTTGATACGGATGCATTACAGTTTACGTCAGTGGTTGAATTTCCTCTAGACAGGACACCACCTGAACACCTTAAAAAGACAAAAGAATACACACACATGATACAAGAATAAACCAGTATGAGAACACATCAACACAAGAAAAAAATAACATTTGGTTTTCGAAGCCCTGCTACTGTATTATTTTATTCTCATCTGCAAACTGTTCATCGTCTATCCCTATTGATTTCCACAGAAGAGCTGTTGAAGAGGCCAAGACAGATACTGATTCTGGTTCTACATGTGCTTTTACTAAACTAGACTTCAGGCATATACTTCATACAGGTACTTGATCTTTACTCCCCCATGAAGAAAGAACTTGGAACATATGAGTGTGAGAAAAGTTCTGGATTTAATCTAAGCATAGATATCGAGCCCTGGTCTAAAACTAAAAGGCCATTCACCTTCATGAGCTATTTCTGACTCTGTTCATGACTGTAGGATGTAGTTCCTTAATGACTCCCGGTAATCAAGATTTGTTAGATAGCCTGGATATCACAGGTTACAATCCATCTTCCTGTTATGACAGGAAGGCGTTCACCACAATCTAGTACCAGAATTCTGGTGGGTAGTGGCAGTGTGACTGGGGAGTATGGAAAACATGTAGTCAGTCCTAGAATCAGCTGCTTCTACTGTATACGGAATATCTTTTCTAAGATGCTGCACTGGACTGGAATGGGTTAAACAGTCCTTTTGCACTTCCTGGTCTGGGGGAAAACCCATATACATGGAGAATATATTATTTCAACCAATTTGTCTCTGGTTGTGAAATACCACGGGTTACAATTTTCACTCAGCTCAGTTTTCCCGGCACCATCCTGGTTTGGAACTGTACCTTCATGCCAAAAAACAGGAACATCATGATCTGTCCCTGTGCAAAAGCTCATGGATTATGTTCTTGGAAATAAAAGCACTCACAATTCAAAAGTGTCAAGATGTCAAGATGAGATATTGAATGTTCATAACATACCGCAGTATCAGTAAAAAAATAATATTAGTGCATTCATTTTGACATTATTTTACAAGACACCAAAAGAAAGATGTAGACACTTACACAGTCCAGGGTGTGCATGATAATGACATTTCTTCTGCTGAAAATGTGCCAGTAGGGCATTCTTCACAAATGGTGTCAGATTTAGCTGTTCCTGAACATATTAATAACACATAAGTTATGATTAACATGTGCATCCATTTCTTGTCTATTTATTCTTATTCAGGGTTGCATGCAGGGGAGCTGGAGTCTATTCTGGCAACCAATGGGCACACGCCAGGAGACACTCTAGACGGGACGCCTGTCTATCACAGGGCAGACAGACACAAATACAGGCACACACACGCACACACTCTTGCATGCACACCAAGGCCAGTTTTCCCAGACTCCCTTTAACTTATTATGTCTTTGGACTGTGGCAGGAAACCAGAGCTCCCAGCAGAAACCCACAAACACAGGGCGGACAGACACGGCACCCCTGGTCTGGAACTGAACACAGGGCCCAGCCATGTGAGGCAGCCATGCTAGCCACTCTGTCACCAAGCCATCTTATGATTAGCTTAAACAGTACATGATATAAATCAATAACCGATTCTTAGTTGACACTTGGCTTGTGTTCTGAAAGATCATCCGTGTATCAAACCAAATTAAAACAGACTGGTTACAAAAAACACATAAATAGAAGCAGAAAGGAACCAGGTTTCTGACTTACCATTCTGCTTAACCCACTGTCCTGGCTGACAGACGGAGTGTTTAGGACACAGGTGGCATTCTTCACTGCTGCCGTCCACACAGTAGAAGTCTTTCAAGCAGTGGCAGACAGTGTTTTTCACTTTGGTGCAGGGGGACTTCACAAAAAGACCCAGCTCTGAGCACAAGATAAGTGTTTCAACACTCTAGCATCATGTCAATAATTCTGAATTACACTTGGATCATCCGGGGGGGGTAACTGAGAAGATCCCTCTATTTCTAATCCTAGCTACAATTATAAGGCTGCTGAGGATATGAGCACAGAACTGAACATTTTTTACTTAAGCAGAAAACTCAGGACAATAACTAGGACAAATAAATGTTCTATTGTTAATCTATCACAACCCAAAAATACAGCATAAGCACATTTACTCTAGACTGTACGCACGTGTGATTGTAAACACATGGCTTTTAAAGTTAGCTGACCTATTCAGACAACTGTATGATGAAAACTACATCATGTGGCAATGAAACTAGATGAACATATGTCCACTACAGTGTGATCCCTCCTTGTGTCCATGCAATTTTTGGAGTCATTATTCTTCATGAAACTAAGTTGATGTCTCCTTGCACTGACACTCTCAGGATGGTATACTATTTACTCTGTAAAAGCACATTTTGCTACAGTTACATTTTGTTAGGTCTGGTGTAGTCAGAACTAAAAAGCAGACTTGAATTAGTAACCACACGGATTACACACAGTTTTATCAACAATCACTGAAACTTTACATGGCACCAAACTAGAGTAAGGTATTTTCTTTATATTTCTCTGCTTTGCTGCAAAGGTTATGTTTTGAGAGCACATTCCACCTCCCCATGAAATACACCCCATGAAGATAGTTTTTGCTCACCTGAGTCACAGACTTTACAGTCTAAGCACTTTGTCAAGCCATTGGGGTGATCTATGTATGTGCTGTTGGAACAGCTGGTGCACTCTGTATCACTGTTTTGTGGAGAGCAGTGCTGGGAAACACGACTGCCTGAAAAATGGAACAAAATTAAGGAACAAATCCCAACAATGTTTTAAGCCCTGTCTGGTTAAGAGGCAATCTGGACGACTGTTTGTTTTCCCAGTGCTGAAATGCAAATTAAGCCGGTTTTGTTTGTTTTGAAACTCCTGCTGTTCTGTTTTCTGGGGTTAACCAATTCACTTCAACATTTCAAAAATTGAGATTTCAAATCAGAACCATGGAAGAGAAGCCATTATTACCAACCTGGTCCACACTTCTGACAGCACTGGTTAGCGATCCTGTACTCTCTAGGGCCACAGGAGCTGTTAGTTGAAACAAGTAGAAATAGCACTGCTGCTGTATTCTGGAAACAAAAAATAATTAAATTAAGGCCACTAACCAGCTCTCAGTTTAGAGTCAGAACTCAAATCAGGGGCATTTGTTAACAAAAACATTCACCTTTGTCTGGGAATAAACTACCAGTTGATATAGCTGATGCTTTTATCAAAAGCGATTTGCTCTTCTCATTTCCACAGCTGGGGCTCTACATGAAGCAATCTAGGTATCTCACTCAAGAGGACAACAGTGGTAGCCACACAGGACTCAGGCCTGCGATCCTCCAGTTACTGTACAAGTGCAGGGTACAAGCCACTACACTACAATGTTACCAGAGGGAAAAGACTCTAGTTTTGCACTCAGTGTCAGGCTTTAAGGGGAGTCCTGTTTATTATTTCGGTCTTTCATGATTTTAATCGCCCCAGGCCTTGGGCTGGAGTTCTTCTGTGTGGAGTTTGCATTTTCTCTCTGTGTTTATATGAGCTTTAGCCTACAGCTCCAGTGGTGACAGCTTAGTTAACTGGTGTCGCTGAATGGTCCCTGTGTTTGTGTCCATGTGTGTGTCATGGGGTGGACTGGCATCCCATCTTGCATCCTACACTTCTGAGAGAGGCCCCTGTCAGGAACAAACTACTTAGTGAAAATGAAGGAATTGATAGACAATCCCTAAGCAGAGCTTCAGAGGAGCCAAATCCAACATTTTAGGTCTAGAACTAATAAGGCAGAACCCAACCTACTGTATCTGTGGGAATAAGCTTTGAAGATCCTGCTGTGAGAGTGCTGGTCATATCTATCATATGACCAAATAGTGTGCAGTTCCACCAAAGCCACTTACTCAGACAATGCAGGTACTGTAGTTATCTAATCAGCTGTTTGTGTCCCCAGAGAACCCTATGGCACAGACCTACAAATGTTCTACAAATGGACCAAGTCGCTTTTTTTGTAAAGAAAACATTTGTAAACATAATAAATACACGATATACAAATAATACATACACAAATATTTAATTGATATATTTTAATGAAACTCTTATGAAAACGTTCAGGTATGGAATGCCTCACGCTATATAAAACACCATTGCTATTTTTATGGAAAGATCAATCAAACTAAAATTCAGAAAATATTTTTTTTTAACAAACGTAGGTACTGCAGCTATTTTTAAGCAAGTTTAGTACAAGTTTAATATAAAAAACTCGAAAAACTCGCGAACTCTAAAACCAAGGCTGGTTATTGTTGTATTACATGGTAGTTACAGTCTAAAAACGCCTCCTTTAGATAACATCTGTCCTAAATACACTCCAATGCAAACGAATACCGCCGGACTACAGAATCTGTTTCTGTGACGTAGTACGATACAAATATATACATTTCATATAAACATTTCACACTACCGCCTTCCTCACAAACATTAAACATAAAGATGATCATTCTCCTACAAATAAAAACAAATTAAAAGCTAAATACCAAATATTTACTCTTATTACTATTGTTCAGTGGTCTGTCGTGTATAAAACATTTATAAAGTCATCATTTCCGCTGCTTCAGGGCTTCTCGAGCGTTGTAAATTGTACCTTTAGATGTAAACACCGCTTTCCTTCAACATTACTTTCTTACCAAATATTTTATAATACTTTCGAAACCACATTGAATCGACCTTATGATAAGGTTCATAGTAAACTTACCAGTAGAAAAAACAATTTATCTGCCAAATTCATCCTTGCTTACTTGAGTTTCTGGAGAAATTGAAACTATAAAGGTTGTTTAGGTTTTGCTTTCACTAACAAAATTAGTTTTGATACGAACAAGTGCAGGTTATCGCCGAGAGCTTTACACCGAATAAACCACGAGGTTAACCTATGGAGAAGCTTGATTCCTTACGAAAATATCCTAAAAGTTCCTACCCCCCAAAAAAACAAAAAAATTACTGTTTCTATAGAAACATAAAGGAATTATACAGAGAGAATTGGGACATTGTCAATCTGCGATGGAAATTCTTAAGGGTCAGGGGTTTATCGGGGAAACTCCTTGATTATTTAAATGTAACATTATACTATCACAGGTTTGTTTTCATAATCCACGTTATGCTTGTATAACTGAATTAATCTGCTTCATTTAATCTCTAAAATGAATATTACCGGCGAATGGTGCAATTATAAATTGTATTTCCTGTTCTGACATACAAATTGTGCGTCCCTTCAGTACTAAAGGTACCGACAGATGGCGCTCCGCCAATATGAAACGTCAAAAACGTTTAAAAGACTTGAGACGTACATGTACTGTATAATAAATCACAAATGAGAAAATTATATTTATAAATATATTTTAGAATGGCTACTTTGTGGTGCGTGCGCGTCAGGTGACAAAATCTATTACTTTGGCTCCTACAATTTCAATAAGGACTGGACTGAAAAAAAGTGAAGACTTTTTAAAGTAATTCTATCAGCTGTATAAAACAAAAAAAAAATATAATAAAGTTATAAAACTACCCAAAATATGAAGTTCACAATTCAGCATTCACAGATCATTGAATATTTCAGAAACCAAAATGGATATTGTGCCTGTAAACAATTTCTGAACAGATTTCTGCAACTCAGAAACATGGTCTTGTTGAGCTAGCATCTATTTTGTTAGTAACTCATCTGAATTACATTCCTTAATGATTTGTGAAAGTAAAATTACTTAATGTAACCTCAGTCTAACTCCATGGGATACTTGAAAAATGAGTTTGATGGATCACTGGGATCTCTAATGGATTTTGGGATCACTGAGCTTCTAGTGACACAAAGAGCACAATGGGCCCATTCTAATGTTGTCAAGGACAGTTGGTTCATATTAGTGTCATAGTATAAAAGGATACAGATACAATAATGAACCCAATTAAACACAGTGAACCAAATTAAGAGCACCAAATAGTTACTGTTCCTCAAACTATCCAATAACTCTCCACATAAACATCAGCAATCAACACAGGACACAGACACACAATTAAAAAATGCTCTTCCCACGTGTTCAGGTTCAACCAATTACTGATTCTCATGTTACTATATAAACCTGTAGTCACCAACAACACAAAAGAATGACATGAACAAAGGCTTGACCAGGACTGATCAGCTGAGACAGTAAAACACGACAATCACAGCCACCCTGGTCAGGGATTTGTGTTCTTGTGTTCATGTAAAAGGCTTGAGTTTTGATTGTGTCCATTTGCTTGTGTCCCTTCTACTTTCTCCACACACCTCATCTGCCAGTGATGAATCACAAGATGGTTTTTCAGCAATGAATCGTGTTCATAAAAATTCTGTGACAGCCTGGTCACAGGGCATACAATGTTAACACATGTATTAAAAACTTGAAATAAGAAAATGACTGAAATGTTTAACTTTATACAAAAGCAGCAGATTACATGTTATTTCAATACAACACAGCTCTGGGTCCCAGTCCTGGTCCTGCTGACCCACACACCTCCTGGTGTCAATTCCATCCCACCTAATAGTATTTATTGATAAAAAGATAACCAAAGCATTACGTGATCTGCTGAGTAGCTTTAATTGAATATTTGCATCTTGTTTCTAGTCACAAGTCATTATTATTATTTCAACGAAGCATCTGAGTGTAACTGGCTGGAACACAAACCAACAGGTGTGTGGGTCACCAGGAATATAATTGGGTTCCTAGGTTCTGGAAATGCATTACACCTTTGTCACATCACATCCTTTAAACATGACTTGGTCCAATTCTATTTTCCAGATAAAAACACCATGGAACTACGAAACAAGCCGAGATCTTTCTCTTCTTAATGTTAATGCTGAACATATATTGTTTCACATCCCTCAAGCCCCCAGGTTCAGTTAACGCTCCAGAGTTATGGAGTGAACTCACGTTTCAGTCCCACAGTTTGTCAGCTGATAAATGACATGGTTGTGCAATAGTTTTGGTCACAAGCTGAATGAGTTGTGAGTCCACATCCAGCTCAAAACAGGTGGGATAAACTGATTCAGTTTGAAATGTGTAACTCAATCAGTCCATGTCTTGCATAGATTGAAAAAGAGCACACCCAACACGGAACTGTGTAACAATCTAAGGTCTAATTATTGCATCCTTGGCTTCTGTACGGCTGAGTTGCGCTGATCTGGGCATGCCACCTTCACTGTCCCAATTCCAGAGCTTCACTTCAGTTTTCGGAAGAAACCACTTGTGATGTTTTTAGCTGACCCCGAGGTACGACATGTCCATGCAGCAGGTCTCCTCACTGTCGTGTTTGCTCTGCATTGCTAATAGAGGCCTGTGTGATGTATGCAGGCACCGCCAAGCTCCTTAGACTGCCTAGATGTTCTAAGATGCCCCGAGTCTGCAGACGTCCGTCACACTGGCACTGTTTGCAAATCCTGCTGGTCTTCCTTGATATTTCACGTCTGTATCCCACCAGCTAAAAAAGAACGGGGAAAAATAAACTGAAAACATTCTCAGCATTGGTTATCTTATATTGCATATTTTATGCGTTTTCTAAATAATAACACCCAGAAAGTTTACTTCAAAAAATGCAGCTACAATTAAAATATTTTTTACTGAGAACCAACTTATGTTCAACGTCCAACATAAAAATGACTTGTCTGTTAAATACTGTAGGCCTTCAGCTTCCAGATTTCCCCTGATCCTAGAGTTCTGAGCTGAAAGATAACTGGGTGCTGGAGATCAAAACCCACTGAGTACTTAACTGAACTCGCTGATCACCTCTTAGTTTCCAAACACTACCAAGAGAGTATGACATGTTAAAGTAGTAATCATGTCTATAAAAAATGTGTTTTTATTTAAAGTCCCAGTCACTCTTTGACCATCTCAGCATTCCTTCAGAAAACAGTAAATAAGTAAATGTAATTTTTTAAGGTTTACTTACACTGAGTTGCAGCATCTCCATTTCCTGTCCTTAATTAAAAAAATGAAAAGGACACAAATTACTTTTTTTTTCTAGATCGCAACAGCATAGTAGAGTGAGTATGACATTTTGTTGCATTTTTACATTTTTTTGGTACTCTCAAACTAAAACACGTTCAACATTTTTTTTGTCTGACTTTCACTGAAAAATGATATTTCTGTCCAATTCCTATGTACCTTAATATAAAGTATAAAAAAATACTTTTTATAACAAATGAAGTGGGGATTCGGCAGCTTTGGAACTTAAAAGTCTTCAAACTGTTTTCACCACAGTGGACTTACAGAGAAGAACCATTTCCCGTTTGATGTGCCACGCTACTCCCGTTGGTTTCTTGTATAAGGCGTTGCTATAAAACAGAACACGTTTATTACAATGAGAGATCTTTTAAAATAATAGTACTGTAAATGAGAATTACTCATGAAAAATATTCAAATAAAGCCCAAAGTTTCAAGTTTGGACCAGTACACTGCGTACAAAAACCTGACATTGATGGAGAAGATTTGTAAATAGCACTAACCTCTGAACAGCATAGTCGGGCTGAAAACAACAACAATAGCTACAATTAATCATTTATTGTATACATCATCTTCCAGGTCAAAGTGCTGTACAAAACAGATAAACAGTACATAGGTAAAAACACAGAAAAAACAGTGCTTCAGTACTTACATTAAATACAGAATAATGTATATTGTTATATCTTTCCTATGATATTCAGAAAGCTAAACTGTTTTTGTTTTTTTAAAATTCTACTAATTATTTTTTTATTATAATTAATAATTATGATCCTTTTTTTTTTGCTTGGTGCCACAAAAACTGACCGTGCAGATGTTTTACTGACATCATGCACTGACCTACCTGCTGACAGAAGAAACTGGAAGACTTATTTCTACACACTCTGAGGTGCTCAAAAGTACTGGCACCTTTCTGTCTTGACAAGGAAAACTGCACTGAAAAGCACCACATCCCTTCCCCTTGGAT